AAATATATATGTACATATGTACATATAAATAAAATTTTTATTACCCAACTCATCACATTAAGCAATTGTTAAGCTTTTAACGGTACTAGGGAATTTCTGTTTACTGCACGAGGTGAATTTCTTAACAGAGAAGAAGAAGAAAGAGAAGGAGAAGAAGCGGCAGTTGTTAAATTGCGGTCGCTGTTGTTGACTAAGGAAAGTTCTTATTTTCTAATTCTGTCTCAGCAACCTCAGCTGCCGCAATTGTTGCGTCTTCTGCGCGACTTTGAAAATTGAAGTTTCTGTAAAAAGTTTTGTTTTGCTTTTCTTTTTGTTGCGGGGAAAAATTACTAGGAACTCAGTATAAACGTAAGAATTTTCCAGTTAAATTTAAACTGACCTATATAATATACAAATGTATATATATATGTATATATAAATGTTCTCTAATTCAGTGGCGCTTTTCACTTTGTTATTTAAATATTTAATTTTCCTTATATAAAAATCAAAACTGGGGTTTTCAAGCTGTTGATTTTAAAATATAAAAAATTATCTGCCCCTAAATGTAGGCAAAGCATCATATACGCGTTGGAGGTGGAATTTCGTCTGACCTTTTCTCAGCTTCTCGTCTCCATTTAAGCCGATCGTTCTAAAATTCGAAACGAAGATGAATAAAGTAATTGCAAAGGCTTTGGTATTTTTAGATTTAACAAAAACAAATTGGAAGTCAACCACTGATCGAACTTTGGTTAATATCCTCGTAGTCTTCTAAATGTATTTCTACAAACTTAAACGTTTCAGCGCCTTATAAATTTTCAAGAATTCAAGTATTTTTTGAAATCTTAATTTCGATGTAAAATATTCTTCTTCTTACGCGCTTGTAGCGGATATTAACAATAGCGCCTCTTCGCCGTTTCGGTTTTCAGCTGTTCGGTGCCAATTGAAGATACCAAATGAAGCCAAGTCCTTTTCAATCTTATCGTTATAACGGAATAGAGATCTTTCTATTCACCCACTGCCATCAGCGGGTACCGTATTGAACACTTTCAGAGCTGGATTGTTTTTCTCCATCGAAAAGAGATGTCCTATCCAGCGTAGTGCTTTTCGTTCTTCTAACGTCGCGTTATTCTTCGCCGCCTTTATGCAGAGGACTATAAATCTACTGTAAAATCGTTCCCTCGCAGACTTTAAAAGCTGACTCATTGGATATTGTCAATGTCCATACCTCTGCACCACACGGCAGGTCTGGGACTTTTGAGGGGCTTCTATAGTTTGGGCTTTGCTCATCGAGAGAGGATTTTACTTTTCAATAACCTACACAGTCCAAAGTATCACAGGTTTGCAAGAGTTGGATTTCCAGACTGACATTGTAGTTGGTGTTCCAAGGTGAACGAAGTTTGTTAAGACTACAAAGTTATTACTGTCCATAGGGACGTTGAAGTCACGACGGGAAGGTGGGGATACCAAACTATAACGACATACATGAAGGTAACACATTTTTGTGCTCTTGAAGGCAGCTATAAAATCTACAATTGGGTGGTGTGTTGTAACTTCCTCTTGGCGTATGGGAAATGTGGAAGCAATGAAAGATTTGTCAGGTCTGAAACTACAAAGTCAGTTTTTTAACCGTTGGGCTGACACAGTTCGCTCGTTATCCCATGATAGTTAGCGCAGATTGTGGATCAGAATATTATACAAGAATACAATGTCTCTTATCAGAAAAAAGATACTAGCAGCAGCTTCCAGGAAACTAAATAAATCACCATACCCAGAGTTGCTGAAGACTATCACCCCGAATCATCCTAAAATAATTCTAGATATGTGAAATGCCTACCGCAACAGCAGTCTATTCCCTGAAGCCAGGAAAGGAAGGAAGCTCTTGATGTTGACAACCATTTTACTATATAGAGCTCAGCTAAGGGGCGGACTCACTACTTACCTGATTAACTGATATCAGTTGGATTTTCGCCGCCATGCTGGAATTGCTCAGTTGCTTAGACATCGGGTCCGCCGCATTTTTATTCTTGAAGCGCGTAATCGCCATTTAATTTTTATAACAGTCGGCTGATAGAACATCTATAACATGATGATAGAGTGGGATTCCGGATGCGCCATCACTGCAGTCAACCTGGTTGGAGAAGATACTCAGAGCTTTACTCTCAGGCCTAATTTTTCGTTCCTACTCCTCACACAGATCAGATGGGGCTTTTTATATTCTTGAAAAAGTGGAGGATTTATCCCCAGAGAGTTGGCGGCCGCCTTAGCTAAGTGGTTAGCATAGCCAACGGCCATTTGAAAGGCTCGGGTTCAAATGCTGGTGCAACCAACATCCAAAAATTATAGAAAAATAGTTTAAATAAAAGAATACGTTAAATTTTCTGATTGCGGTCGCTCCTCGGCAGGAAATGTCGACCACTCCGAGTGTATTTCGGACACGAAATAAAAACCTTTTCATGAGAATCCATTAGTCGTTCGGAAGCGGCTCATTATAAACTCTAAGTCCCTACGTTTGTTGAAAAACTTCAATACGTAAAAGCCACAAATTGGAGGAAGAGTTCGTTCGAAAATCGCTTCAGCGTCTACTGTTGACAATATTTGGCATAAGAGTTCATGTCTTCAGTGTTAACGGTTCCCATTGCCATTTTGTTGGGGGTAAGTTTTTGGAAAGAATATGGATTTCGCCATAATGAGTGGATTATATATGTAATACATATAATTGTAATCGCTGAAGCGGTTTTCGGACGAGCTCTTCTTCCAATTTGTGAATATCGTTTTGATGTGTTTCCAAAAGGTTTAGGGTTCCACAGTTTAACCAAAGCCACCGCGGAGCAGCTGACGGACTTCTATGAAAAGCTTTTTATTTTGTGTCAGAAGTATAATCGGAGGGCTTGATATTCTCAGACGAGGCGCGGACGCAACCAGAAAGTCACTACACGATGCTAATTATTTATACGCAATTTTTTTTGAAATTTAAACAAATATTTATTTAATTGAAATATATCTGCACGAATGGTAATTGATTACATTGTACACAATATATATTTATATGTATATGTACAAACGTGTTTATATGTATGAGTGTAAAACGAAATCTCTCACAATATATAATAATTATTTTCCAATACAAATAAATTCCTTTTTATTCTCAAGCATTTACTTATGTATACACATACATATGCACACGTCTATTTAAATATACGTATACATGTAAGACACGGTTGAAGAAAGAAGAAGTAAATCATAATTCCAGTAGCTTCCTTTTCCTCTACTTCTTCTCAAACCGGCGCTTCGCTTCCAGTTACTCTAATCCTCGCATTTTCTCACTCTCTACTGAGTTTTGTGCTCATACACACACATACATATATATATATATTCATATTTTTTTACGTTTTTTATAAATCTTTCTTTTCTTGCTCTTCACCAAATTCGCCTTTTCATCTTATGTGCTTCATGTGCTTCACACACTCGCAGATATTTACCTACACACTCATGTATTAATTTTTTTTTCTGTAAATGTCACTTATGTACGCGTGTGTCTGTACGCCCACATGACACTGTGACAGCGTTTACCAAGGAGGTTGGCAAGAATGAGTAGGCGACAGCAGCTCATCGCTGGCTGCATATAACACACACACATATACATACAGACATACAGATATAAATACATAACTTCGATTCTGATTGGACGCAACATTTATCTGCGCTCCGTTGGGTGTATACTAGAAGCACACATGCGACCATATGCATACTCGTATGTATATGTGTATAAAATATATACATATGTATGTAGGTATGTGTGTGCAAAAGGCTCCTGCTTTCTCATGTTTGGCATATAAGCGCCTACACATTGGCGTTATTGTCGGCGCCGACGCATTTTGGCTTTTTTATGTATGTGTAATTGGTCTATGTGTGTGTGTGTGTGTGTAAATGTAGCGCTTTTGGACATTGGAAAACTCCACCCACATAACATATGTACATTCGTATTCGATAGAGACGTGATGGGTGTTGTAAATCGATTATTTTCACATATACATGATTTCTTTGATTGTTGTTGTTGTTATTATTGTTGTTATTATATTGTCAATACTCCTGCGTTCGGACATGTATTAATCTGGCACACACGGGTATGGCATGAGCAAGTGTTTAACTCGTGTCCTGGAGATTTATTCCCTTAATACACATACACATACATATATGTATACACATATACGATATATAAGTGTATATCGGCTCAGACGGAAAGCAATTGAAATGCGATTTTTTAACATGAAAATTTCAAATCTTACAATTAACTTGGAATTAATTACCAATTTTTAATTTAAAATTAAAAGCAACAAAAGTTGGTGGGGGTCCCTATTATTCGTCTGTGTGGGTCACCCTGACAGAGCAACCACTCAAGTTGCGTTCAGCGGAACACTTAAAGAAGCTTGCGGCATCTTCTAACAGACTTTCATATCTTCTATCAGTTTCAATGGAGGGTGCAATCGCAGGGGATTGTGCTAGGACTCTCTCAAAAGCAAAGAAAGAAAAAAGTTCACCACCCTAACCCAGCATCTTTAAGAGGTAACATTATAATATCTTGGAAATCCAGTGCTGAAACACCATTGCCAAACAGGCGCTACTTTAGGCAGAGTAGACTAAAGAATAGTCAAGCCTTCCATTATTCCCGTCCTACTTCATTGTGCGAAAGCGTGGGCGTTGACAATACCCGATGGGTTGGGATTCTTGAATCTTCTATGAATAGAAAAGGTGGTTCTCTGCAAAATATAGGTAAAGTTGAAAAAATTTTATCCTTCTTTCTTTGGAGTAACCAAGTAAGAAGAGACTAAGTGGGCTTTAACTTCACCCATTAACCATCATAAAAAGAAGACCGAAGACAAAAAGCAGCTGAAATATAGAAATATTATATATAGACTGCCTGATGCCACAAAAACAATGGGCAATAAATAAAACCGGATTTTTAATTTTTTTTTTTTCAAATTTGAGATTTATTTTTGTGTGAAACTCCCTTTTCTTCCCGTCTAACCGAATTGTGGTCTCCTTGATTTACGCACTACTCTTGGACCCCTAGGGCGTCCACCTCTACGACCGCGTCTGCGACGAGCGCGCGACTCGCTGTAGACGCCTTTCTTGTATGTGTTGGGCAACTCAGCTGCCGCGCCGCCAGTGTTGCTTTCAGTTTGCGCTTGAGCAGCGGTATTTTCGGTATTTTCATCTCTCAAGGCTTGATTCTCGTCCTCGCTTTCATCTTCATCATTATCATCGTCATCGTCATCGTCTTCCTCGGCGTGTCCACTATTTTGATTATTGTATTTATTATTCAGTTGTGGTTGTTTTTGATGACGTAACTGCCGTCGCGCTGCAAGCTCCTCCCGCGTCAACACGCGCTGTATGTGAGGAGTGTTGGCCGCAGAGGTGCTCTCCAGTTGCTGCAGCAAGCAAAGAAGCGCTAGTAGCGCGGCGAAGTAGTACGCTATTTTTAGTGACATTTTCTTTCTATCGAAGGTTTTCTCTGTGTCGTGACTATCTGCTGTCGTTGATTTGATCTGAGTGTCTGATGTTGTGCCGAGGCTGTTGTGAAGCTTTTATAGTTGGGTTGCACGTGCCGTAGCTTGAAAGCTCACGCTGTTGAGACACACTTGTGTAAATATGACTGACTTACTTTGCAGTTTACTTTGGAGAGTCTCTTAGTGGCATTAACCAAGGAGAGATGTACTCGGGTTAGATATGTTTCATCATTTATTATCAACACCGTTAGCGTATCTCAGCAGTCGGATGCAACTAAGCGATCTTTCATCTTCGCTGAAGTTTTGGGCTGCAACTCAATTTCAAGGACACATGTTGCAAGTTGTGCTCTTCGTCTCTACACAATCTTGACGCGTTGGTATAAATACCCGCGCAACGTTACACTTTATCAACACTCGTGTTGAATTTCACTCGAGTATCGAAGTGCTGGAACTTCAAAAAAAAAAAAAAATGATTTTGAAAATATTACTTATTCTCCTCGTCGCAACGCATATGAGTCCAATCGACTCGTTGGGCTTAAGAAAAGTTTGCAATTTGCTTGGACATTGTACAACAACGACAACACCTCGGCCGATAACTCCGACAGGTCCATCCACGTATACCATAACATTGTCCCCAACCAGTCCACCTGCGTCGCCATCACCGACCTCGCCTACCTCACCAACATCTCCCACGACATCACCCTCACCGACGTCGCCGACATCACCAACAACAACAAATTCAACTTCTCGTAGTTTCTCAGATGATGACGGCGGCCGTGCTAGACGTAGGCGTGGACGTGGACGCGGCAGGAGATCGAGGAGAGGACGTCGTTCACGACGTAATCGTAGGCGTAGAAGAAATCGGGGTTAAAAGTGATTTTATATCATATGGGCATGTTTAAGGAGCTCCTGACAAAGAAAGAAAGAAAAAAAAGAAAAACAAATACATAAATATTTAATGGCAAGAAAAAATGGTAAAATTCTTTCACTCTTCCTTCCCTAAGAACAATTTTACTTATTTTTGTGGTAAAGTTTTTTCCACGACTATTTCCTCATACCGCTTAGAGCTCAAAACGACTTCCGGGTGCACTAATGCTCCTGAAATGATAATTGCGAGGTAGAGGTACAATATATACAGGCTCTTCTAAGCCCCTTCTGAAAGGCCGATTGGTTTTTATGGGGAGATTTCATTTCAAGTGGGAAATACACTCCGAGGGCCTGGCATTCCGTTCCCAAGGACGACTGCAATTAGACATATCAATCTTCTATTATTTTGAATGTTGGCCGGATCAGAACTTGAACCTACTCTTCACAAAAGTTGGCCATTTTTTCTTTACTTTCGTTACTTGAAGCCAATTGAAAATACCACTTGCAGTTAATTCTTGACCTTTTGAATAAAGTGGAGATCCTCCTCTTTCTCTGCTGCCACCAGAGCGTAAGACATCGAGTACTTTTCATCTATTCGGTCTACTTGGCATAGAAATTGTCTCTTGATGCGATGAACTATATTAATGGCACAGTATAACTTGTTCGGCCAATCGTTCCATAGTCTGCGGTACACGATGCTGCGTATGCGTAAAGGATCATACATCTTCCGTACCATATTGCAGAATTTGTAGGTTTTGTTTTTGCTCGTCGTGAGAGGACTTAATTTTTTAACTTCCAACTCAGTCCGAAGTAGCAGCAAGAGTGATTCTGCGTTGGATTTAAAGATATATACTGGTTATAGAATAGACGGAATTATCTAAGACCTCAAAGTTATGGCTGTCAACTGTGACGTGGAACCCTAGCCGGGAAAGAGATGACTAATTATCTCATAACATTACATTTTTCGTCTGGCCGTCGTTTACTATCAGCCCACCCGCTTAACTACTCTATACAGTATGGGAAAAACATATATATATATATCAGAATATTGTACCTTCTCTATTAAGTGCACTAACCTCACCACTAAGCTAAATAAGTCGCACCATTTAGATTCGCCTTGACTGAAATCCCGCTTGGCATTGAACGGCTCGGAGCGGTCCTTCCCGATCCTGTCGCAGCTTTTGGTGTTGCTTAAAGTCATTTGACTCTGTGGCCAGGTCTGTAGAGATTGGGTATTGTCATCCTGTAGACCAGAGCTCGAGTACTGGTTCGACCATCATCCAAAATTATAGGAAATTTATTTTTTTCAAACCGAACATCGCTTCAGTACGAAATTGTAGCCTTCAATGATTTTCGAGGGTCCAAATTCTTTATTACTCTACTGATTTCATTTCAGAGAGCCGAAGAGCGGCTTGTGCTGCAGTCTGATAGCTCATTCCAGTCCATTGGTGAGATGTGCGGAGTGATATTTAAGGCCTCATTTGGTTTGGGCTTGGAATCAATTTTTGCATATGAGGTCACCTGCCACCCAATACAAGGGTATTAAAGTATTGAAAACGAACATATGGACCCAGTGACAAATTTTAAGGTTTAAGCCTTCTTTTTACCAATAGCTACTACTACTACTCAGATATGACGGATTTATTGACGCAGAATCCGCAACGATGTGACCAATAAGATACTCCTTGGAGAGCCCTTTGTATTAGAACTTACTTTTAGAGACCATAATTATACGTATGTAATCATTCTTTCTCCCTCCCAGTCAGCTTCTGTCCGATGCAGTTAATCGTATGATTTCATAGTACGAAGCAGAGTGGTGGATAACACCTTGAGACGTTCTTCTGCTTACCTCAGTGGACAATTCCCAAGCTCACAGTGAAGTGTTTACACCCATGACCTTTAAGCGGATTTATCAGCATTTAAAGATTTTTAGGTTAACCTTTATTCGTCATTACGAAAGGAGAAATAAAATGCCTAGTCTAAACTCATTTGTTACAGGCTTTACGATATGTATTACACTGCAGGTCCTACAGACTAGGGTTCGGTGAAATGGGCCTAGAAAGTTTGACCTGTATGAACGAAATAAGCGCAAAGGATGCGCCACTGAACGCGTTGTTTGGATAGGCAAAGAGATACTTTTGGCACAACAGTCGGCCAATTCAGCCTTCATGACAATACCTCCCCAACGGAGCTAAAACTATAAGAGTTTGCCCGTTCTCAAACTTCGTTGTCTGTTATGTAAGTTTCCATGTTAGAACAAAGAGAAGTCGAAAATTTTTATTATAGCAGACAGTCAAGTGATTTTCTTCATCACATGCTCCTAGTGTTCGCTGAAGAAGTAAAGTATGGTATATAAATCTATCTTACATTTCACCGATTTGTCTGAAAACAGACTTGGGACGATGAGTAATGTTCGCTTCGATCGCTTTGTGTTGGTAAGATATCGAGAATTAAAGAGGGAAGTAAGAGGGAGGGAGGTCTAAACGATGGAAGAAAAACGAAGCTTACATGGGAGATTGTACGAAGAAATGGGAAATCTTACAAAGATGAGAATGGCACATAAGATACTGGGAAAATCTATAAGCAGAGGAAACGAGCGGGCTCGTAATGCCACCATCGACTGACTCTGAGCCTTGAGTGCCTTCAAAGGTTGTTCAAAACAGTGAACCATCGAGGAAAACTTAGAACTCTTACAAAGCAGGGCGTACCACTAATTTATTTTAGGGCAACGTGGATAGTGGATAGACAAAAAAACTGTTACTCGCATGAATCAAAAGAGAACTTCGTATTTTTCTCGTTGCATTAACAAGGAATTCACGTCGGAGTGGAGTTATCATCTCCATATGTTAGGTAAAGTAGAAGCTGGTGTGTAGAGAACGAAACACCTGGAGCACTTACTAGCTTCGCGGGCGTCTGGTCCTTAAGACGATTGAGACGTCATATCTTTTACGATGCTCTCAGCTCCAACCTGACGGAATTGGCACGCATGGTTGGAAGAAACCAAAGTACTTTATGAAAACGAGCGAGCTTTTCGCAAACGCTTAGTTGAGGTACACGAGGGAGCACAATGAACTAAATAAGCCGCATTCCAGCTGTATGGTCTTAGTACTTTTTGCAAGAAAGAATATAATTTTGCCCCAACGGGTTTCGGCATAGTACCTTCTGGCATCTGCAAAGGCAGAGGTAAATACATCAGAGAAATGCAGTAGAAAATGTGCAGCCTTGTCTTGTTGGTGATTTCAATTCGTAACTCGCGTAATGTTCCAAGTCTCTTACCTCAAGTTTTTTCGGCACAGACATAACGACACAAACTCCATTACAGAAGAATTAAGAAAAAAAGAAAGAAAAAAAGACAACACAAAATTAGGTCGACACCAAACAAACATTAACATCACCACGCTCCCGAGTCTTTGTACATTGCATACATATAAGAGTAAATATTTATTTAATTAAAACAGACGTTGCACTAACTGCAACTGTAATACCACACCAGTGGGGAGTATAAAAGCAACACTCACTCGATGGATCAGCAAGACATTCGCTTCATACACCCAACGGTTGTGGCGAGTTAAACATGGCCGCCTTCAAATTGGTATTCCTTGTTGTTGCATTGGGTTGCCTGTCACAGGGTAATGCTATTGATTTGAAGAAGCTCCTCGGCGTCAATACCACACCGGCTCCCGTAATCACGTCACCATCCGTGCCATCCACTTACACCATCACGGTTAGTCCAACAGGAACTTCGCCTACCACGACAACAACTACACCAACTTCACCGACAACAACATCACCGACTACATCACCGACTACATCACCGACAACAACAGGAACGGGCACGACAACAGCATCACGTTCCTTGGATGATGGCGCACGTAGACGCAGACGTGGCGGTCGTCGGCGATCGCGCCGTGGTCGTGCTGGCCGGCGTGGTCGCAGACGTGGTAGACGTGGCCGTCGTGGTTCTAGAAGACGCAACAGACGTCTCCGCGGTTAAGGCGCGTTAATGTTTGATACTCGTTTTTTTGGCTAAAAAAAAAATAAAAAATTGTAAATCAGAAATATTATTGAATTTTCTGCAAATATGAAAATTGTTTGTCTAGTTTTTAAAGAAAAAAATACATAAAATTCAAATTCAATGGGGAATTTTTATTACCATTCGAAGGAACATATTCCGGCTTTAATTGTTTGAAGATTATCTCTTTCATATATTGGCCGCGGCTATGTCTCAAATGCTCTATCCGTTGAGTTCACTTTTCAATGACTCCTTCGAACATTTCGACTAATAACTGACGAATGACATGCGTGGTAATTTTCTTCAAAGCCTGCATTGAAGCGGAATTGTCCCTATAGACTTTAGATTTTACATATCCCCACAGGAAAGAGTCTAAGGCTGTGATATCACACAATCTTGGTTGCCAATCGACCAGCCCAAAACATTAAACTATCTGCTCACCGGAGTGAGTGACTATCGAATCGAATTGATTGATGCGATCCGATCTGTGGAAAGTGGCGCCGTCTTGTTGAAATCAAATGTCCCCGAAATCACGGCCTCCAATTTCAATCATCAAATAATCGGTTATCATGGCGCGATAACAGTCGCCATTGACGATTACGTTCTCACCGGCAGCATTATTGAAGACATATGAGCCGATGATGCCGCCGGCACATAAATTACACCAAACCGTTGTTTTCTTTTATTAAATGGCCGCTCTTGAATCTCTTCCGGTTGATATTCGTCCTTTATTCGACAATTTTGGTTGTCTGCATACCCATTGAGCCAGATAAGGACCTAATGCAAGTCCGAGTTGTTGCGAAAGGCGCCGAATCGACTCTCAGGTATGGCCGCAACATCTTCCTCCCTGGGTTCTGGACGTGGTCTATTCGGTCGAATATTATCCAATAATGAATTGCGCGAAACATATTCTTTACAGAACTTGAATTTTCAATTGGAAAAATTGCTTGGATCTCCTGTCATTAAAAAAGTATGGACTTATTCCAAAAATTCATGAATAAATTTATATCGATATATCGAGTGATAAGTTCTTTTATGAGAACGGGGACTTCTTAACCGTCTGCAGGCCGAGTGCTTTGAAAACCAATATCTCAGGGTTTCCTAAAGTTTGAGGATAAAACAAATCTAAATGATAGATGCCCCATCAGTACGTCTACAAGAGTAGTAAGGTGCCTTTGCTTAGGGAAAGTAACAGTTTTGTCTACACCATATGCTCGAAGTGCTTCAGGTTTTTATACATTCTCGAAGGGTCTGCTGCTTTAGACAATATTTGAAGGCATCGTTCATTGATGCAACAGCTTGACCAAGTAGTACCTGTATTTCTGATTGGAACGCAGAGTAGTAGTCATTTGAGCAACCTTGAGTTTTTGCAGGTCACAAAAGAATCCTACTCTTGTACCTGGTTCAATACCCATATTGTTACCGCACGCTCTCCCCCATTCAGAAAGGAGTTAAACACCCGAACTCGGCACTGAGTCGTTAGCGAAACTTCGTACGTCACTCGCATGTTAATTGACGAGATCGAGGACGATTTTCAAGGCATTTGTGGAGCCAATCCTTATTGTTCCACCTACACCCAGCAAGCAGTTAAGTTAAACCTTAAAATAGATTCCGAATATGACAGTGCTTTCTTAGCGTTCGCATATATGCTAGTTAAGACACATATATGCAGTGTATTTAACTTGTAGTCCTAATACACTAGAGACTCTCTACAAGACTCATGTGGAGATTACGAGATGTATTCCGGTAGGTTGATAACTTCTGTTCAGAGGCTAGCGGATATCTTTCCGACTTTACCCATTCTACAATCGGCTATCTATAGCTAACAAAACCCGCATTTACTCTTTTCACTGGGCTGGGCGAAGAAGTATCGATTCAACGTGAATGTTAAAGTGTAAAGAACCAAAAGATACCGAGAGTCACATTCCACAGCCTGCAGTCCTTCACTCCCCATACAACTCCTATTGCCACCAAATTATATAGGCGTAACAAAATCCAAATATCGCCAGCCACCAGCAGCAGGGGAAAAGACAAAGAAACATTCCTCGTAACTTTCAAGGCAGCCCACTGTCTGGTGGTAAACTACACTGCGCCGACTTGAGCACCGGGGATTAGTTACAAGTAACATAACCGAGCACCGCTGGTCAGGACGATCTACCAACAAATCCCTTAACGCCACAGAGAGTCTGCCAACATCTTCATTGACAATCTTCCCTTAAATTGCGTAATCGGTATGAAACCACAAATCATAGTGCAAAACCAGATGGAGCTGCCTTGAAAGACCCGAGTAATACTGGCAAAACAAAGGTCCTTATTTCGTATCAAACTCAACTCCTATTCACTCAAAGTATACATTGACATGCTCAACGTACGTACTGTGTACTACAATGGGGCACCGCACAACTCAAACCTCATGCGAGACCGATAAAATCCTTTCATCAAACACCTCTCTTTCTCTGGTTGGCGACCGTCGATTATGGGACCTACCGTTCGATGAAGTCCAATTTGCATACAATTTTTGCACGAAATTTCTCGGTGGGCTTATAAGATTACAATAAATCAATATTATTAACGGTGATACAATCAGAAAATATTTCTGTTTAGCGTTACCAAGAACAGACCTCAAGTATCTTCGCAGTTCAAGAAGCTGGAAAAAGACTGGAAAATCTCCTTCACCAAAAAGCTTTAACGAGTCTCTGAAGCTATTTTTGGCCGAGCTCCTCATCCAATTTGTGGTTTTCCCACAAATATAGGGACCGACAGTCTATATTAAGCCGTCTCCTAAAACTGTTTGAAAATTGAGTGAAGCATTATTCCTGGAAGATCGGCGAATTGTTTAAAGGATTATCTTAATCCAAACTGTTATCTTTTGTGGATTTGAAACAACGAAATTTTTAGTAAAATATTCATTTTTATTTTTGTATATTTTCCTTGTTTGTTTCCTTTTTATTTTTTTTATTTTCCTTTACTTAACTAAATTTTGTCTATGATCATTCTGCTTGAGTTTAGTTCTTTCAGATTGGTTTAGCCTCTATTTCTGCGTCTCCTACCACCACGACGGCCGCGGCGTCTGCCTCCCCGACGTCCCCTCCTCCTGCCGCGTCTACCGCGGCGACTTCTATTGCGGCGTCTGCCACCACGCCTACCGCGGCGGCGACGACGACGACGTGTTCCATCGACGTCATCGTCATCCTCCTCATCGTCATTATCATTATCGTTGCCGGGATTTTGTACGCCTCGCCTAAGCACCGTTTCCAGTTTGGAGTGCTCACCAATGTAGTTCTCGGCTTCGTTGTTGTTCTCCGTCAGTTGTTGTTGCTGTTGCTGATACGGGATAATTTTGTTGTTGGTAGTTTGTAATGCAGCCTGTGTTTTGTCTTGTTCATCGAGTTGTTGTTGTTGTTGGCGTTTGCCAAAAGCGCATTGTGTATAGCAGCAAAGCACCGCTAACAGCACCAGCAAAATGCTAAGCTTCGAAGACATCTTTTACTCTTTTTCTCTCTCTCTCTCTCTCTTTGTCTGCTGGTTGTTCAACCAATGAAGCATACAAGACAAATGATAATTTTTGGTACGAACGATGGCGCTTTTATAACGGTTATTGATGTTAGCTGCAGTTGCATTTGAGTGCAGCTGTGTAAATTTTAGAGCAAGCATCAGCTGGTTTCCGGCAGCTGTGCCAATGTGACCCAATTATGAAGGCGGTGTGATGGCGTTGTGGAAATTGAATGCCTGAGGCATAAGTAAATACAAAACAAAACAACTAATTTGCTTCAAACAATATTTATTTACCAGCCTCATCGACGAGCATAGCGAGCTTTTTTAGTATGTCTCGAAATTGCATCTAGTACTACAGCAATTTATCATATTTTACTTCTTTTCGCTGTTTGGCGTCAATTGAAAATCCTCCTCTGCCTCCACCAGTGGGTACTGCATCCAATATTTTCAAAGGTGGATTGATTAATCCATTCGGACGACATGATTTTGTCAGCTTAGCCGCTGTTTCTTCATACGCTGAACCACGTCAATATCATAGTATAGTTCGTACGGGTCGTCGTTCCATCGTCTGCTGCATTCGTCTTGTCTTCGTTCACTATCAGGCCAATTCGCTTTGCTTCTTTATCAATATCATCGGCGTATGCCAGCGGTACAGTCTTATCAGAGATTGTACCTTGTCTATTTAGCTCTTCAGCTCTTATCATTCGACCCAGCATCAAATTAAAGAAATCACTCCATAAAGAGTCACTTTGTCTGAAATTTCGTTTGGTACCAAACGGCTCGGGGAGGTTCTTCCCAATTCTGGCTGCGTTTCTGGTGTTGTCTAGCGTCAGATTACACAGCTTCTTTTCGTGCTGCCAAAGTCTGCTTTAAAATCAACGAAAGGGTGGTGTGTGTCGATCTGGTCAATGGTTCATTTACCAGTTCTAAAGCCACACTGATAAGGTCCAATCAGTTTGTTGACGGTGGGATTTAGTGTTTCATCCAATACGCTTGGTAGGACCTTATATGCGTTGCTAAGAAGGGTTGTTCCACGGCAGTTGGCGCCGACTGTGGGATCGCCTTCTTTGTGAGTTGGGCAGAGTAGCGGAGTGTCTGTTCCATCGTCATCGATTCATATTTCGGGTTCACCGTCTCCGGGGTGTTTCGTTTTTACTGCCGTACAGCAGGCTGGAGAAGTGTTGCCTCCATAATTTCGGGAAGATGAATACTTACTTTACTTAGTGATTTGAATGAAGTATAGATTGCTGCGTCATGATATGTAGGACATTGCGGCTGCATCCTGTTCTGAGTTCCACCATGCTTTTGCATCCAGGTCGCAAGTGACTAATGTCTAACTGCCAGGGTAAACGTAGATCAACGCAATCGAGTCCAGCTTACTTCGATAGCTTTATACGCTCATTTTCATGAAAGCGATTAATCGATATCTTCTTAATTAGGTCATACTAACCAGGCGACTCAGCCGCTTGTCTTTCGCTTAAAGATGCCGTGTAGCAGCGATGATCTGAATTTGTACTTATCAATTATTTTAGTGTACAAATTCGTGATGACTCCACTAATTTTGTCTAAATGAGACGAAGTACGGCTTGGGCTGCAGTCTGGCAACCCAGTTCATTCAGTTTAGGAGGTTATCCTTTGTTAACGTAGGCCATTATGAAGCCACCTCGTATATATTTCCAGCCGAGCTTCTCGTCCTCTGTGATGTCTGTCCTGAAATGTTTTCTCAACAAATGGAGCAACCGTCACTTTTTTCCAAGCCTCCTCCCAACGGCTGGTAGTTTTTATGACGAGTGTCAATTTCATTATTTGAATTAGTTTTCTACAATTTTGTTGTCAGAAAAAGACTCGAGCCCTAACATTCCTGAAGGTAGTACGCAGAGCTGACAACTCAGTCTTTAGTTCAACTTTTTTTTATTTTTTACTTGTATGAGGTAGATGCAAAACAATCATTCCTCTACTCTTCAATCACCAGACCACCGTGTGGTCCAGCGACAAATCATAGATCTGAAAGCTTACTCGTAGGTTAATACAATTCAAATTTGGTAAGATTATTGTTCGAATAGTCAGAATTTGTGGGTACTAACCAGTACTCGTAGGCTCCGAAACTATCATCAACGTATGCAGCAATTCGGGCTCGGGCGCAATCAGTTCGTGTCAGATGCAACTTAACCGCAATGGACAATGGGTTATGAGGGATTGATGAATTATATATTTTGATGGTTTAAGCTAAAGCACCAGTATTCTCTTCTGCGCTATTAGCGATGTATGAGTTTGTCCGTTAAGTAAGCGTTTGCCTGGAAGGCGACTTATTTCTCCTGCTGTTGAGGTTGAAGACTTACCATTTTGCACGGAATATTGGACACATTAAGTATGTCATTGAAGACGTGAAAACTCAGCTAAGCCATCTTTCAAAAAACAGATGGTCTACTGGTTATAACCTCCCGGGGGGTTAAAACTTTAGCCGTGGAGAACTAATAAGAATCAACGGCTTAGCAGTCTTCACCGATTTTGCTTTTACCTATTAAAGCCCTCCCTGCTTTGTTACCAATAATTGTTATTCGGTTGGCATATAAAGTAAAAGTCCTTCTAGCTATGAGTCCAGTACTAGCCCGGCTGAAAGAAGAAGTCAAATAAAGTTATTACCAGCTCTCGGACACTGACACTAGGCAGAGTTTGGAAGAAGACTTCCTAGAAGTATCTTCGCAAAAAGTAAAAGCCAAAACTGATCTCTCAAATGTTGAATTCCTCTATACCGTGGGATCTGGTTTGAAAAGTATAGCAAGATCTCCACAAACAAGAAAACAGTCCGAAAATTTAAATGATGAGCACTAACGTTTATTTCGTGCCTGGATTGGAGTATGTTAATGTGGATTATCTTTGAATCCAACATGATGGCGTGTCGTGGCACCACAGCCAACGAAATACTCGTTTTCTTGTAGAAAATTTTTGTTGAACGCATTATATCGTATCGAGTACCTGTGGCATGGTCTTCAATATTCCTGGAAAATATTTTGTGGGGTTATTTGTTATGATTCGGGAAGCTGCTGGAAATGAGGTTCGCTTTTTTACAATTTTTTTTTGGAAACATTTATCATCGCATCCTCCATCAAAGGTCGGCTACGACCCCAAGTCGTGTGTTGGTTTCAGATACCATCACTAGATGAAACACCAGTATGTCAGACGACAATAAAGAAGATGTTCAGTGCTACAACTCTGGAATAAGCTCAGCTTACCTGATTACTGAGCACACAAAAAGCTATGAGAACTAACTCAACTAAGGGTCTGGAAGTCATCCTCAACAGGAGTACCTACCTAAACGTCCTTAATAATGGGGTAAAGTCTCCTAACTAAGGATGAAATCGCAGCAAATATTTAGAAAAAACATCTATATGTTGGACTTAATGGGAGGCAGGCACGGATGTAGGCTTCTTATGTGACCTTAATGGCAAAATGTATGAGGTTTTTGGACGGTATTCAAATGAAAATTAAGGCAATGAAGTGTGTTCATACAAAGATCAAAAGTGTATCCGAATATGTGAAAGCATGTAAGTATGTAATGTGCTGACTATAACTGGTAAACCCAATGAATATCACTCCGGAACCAAGTCACACAGATGTAAATAGGAGGCAATGCATAGGCGATGAGCAAACTCACACTACTTCCGACCTTGCGTTGTCTTCATATGTGGTCCAAAGCTTAGACTAGCATTTGAGATCTTGGAGCTTCGTTGATTAAAGATATACCAAACCCTAGGTTGCTTCGAGAGGCGGACGCCGAGTAGTTAGCAGTGCGTACTGCCATACAGAAGGCGGGGATTCAAATCCTCCCACCATACTAAAACAATCCCTCCGAGCTCCTCAAAAAAAAAACCATTAGCCTTTCGGGGGCGGCTTAGTGTAAATTGAGGGTCATTCCGTTTATTGGAAAACATCAAGACGTAGAACCACAAAATGAAGGAGAATGAGCTGGGCCGAAATCACTTCAGCGGTTACAAGGCGCCCGTTATATATAACTTGCCTCGAGCACCTCGAAACCTTTGAGGTACGACGCCAATAGGTAGGAAAGCACAGAAGATGGTGAAATGCGGGAGCCGCTTATTTGCGGGTGTCCACCCTAAAGCCCACTTAAAGTCAAAACACAAATTCCTTTTCATTTTGGAAAATATACATACATCTAAATATATATTTAACTCCCGAAAGTTTTACAATTATTATTATTTTTTTTTTATCAAACGTTTACTTTTAAGGTCATTTGCTGCTGTGTCTCGTTCGCTAAATATGCATTTGACGTTTATCCGCCTCTGCGTTTCAACATTCTACGTCTCCGCTTGGGATATACACGCTGTACACGCTGCCTACTGCGACGATTACGTCGACGTCCACCATCCGCCTCTTGGTCCATAGCATCGGCCAGTGATCGATTTGATGATGTTGTTGTGCCGGTCGGGACTGGTACTGGGTATGGTGTGGGCACGTAGGTTGGTGTAGTGTAGATAATTGGCGACGTGTATGTGTTGGTTGGTGATGTGACCGGCGAGACTGTAATTGTGCTCGGTGCGGGCAATGTGTATGTTGTTGTTACGGGTTGGTTACCCAAAAGTGCACTCAATTTGGAAGATAGTCCGAAGCCATGAATGGCGGGCAGTGCCACTGCTAAAATGAGAAATGAAATTTTGAAAAACATCCTGAACCTTTGTCTTGGAACCTCGCTGTCTGTTGGGAGCTGCAGAACTGTTAATTTGATTGAGTTACTCGGCTGCTTTTATAGTCAAAATAAATATGGTTTCTTGTGCTTTTTATTTAAACAAAATGTTCGAGTTGAGTACAGCTTTCGAACTGCACTGTCGATATGTAATCATAGTGTAAATAATTTCGATTGAATGTTTGAACAAGTGCAAGAAGCTCAACAAAGTTAAGAGTCAATGTAAATATGAATAGATTGCTCCACTCATGACTTGTGCTGGATTTCTCGATTGCCCATAGAAGATTATCAAATTTTGGTTTCCTCCGTAAAAACTGTTCACCGCAATGTAGAAAAAATCACCCGAAGAACTTCTATTTGCGTTGTTGGTAGAAATTCATCTGACCTAGCCTCAGCTATCTTGCGTTTTCTCGTCTCCATCTTAGAGGATCGTTCTAAAATTTGAAATAAAGGCTCATCAAGTAATTGCAAGGGCTTGGTATTTTTAGGTTGAACAAAAACAAATTGAAAGTCAACAACTGACCGAACTTTGGTTAATCCCCTCGTACATACATAGCAGAATGTTCGATGATAATTTTATTACCAATATGCACCGCTGCTTCCGTGCTTTAACCCACCAGCATTTGCGCCACAGCTTCTTTCGAAGGATACGCCTGTTGAAAGCTGTGGGTGGCTATACCCAAACAGATATACTCGTACACCAACGGGAGACATCTGAAGTCGCATAAAATCCAAGCTGTTTAACTGTTATACCTCTATCCCTATGCCATTACGACACCGCTAAATATGCTTCTACAAAAAATTAATTGTAATTGTTATTGTAATTACCTGGTTATGGCGGTGCACACTTGCATGTTGCAAAAAATTGGAAAGGAAATAATTTTTTTTATATCTTTTTTTGTCTCACAACACTAAGCGCAGACTACTTATGTACATATGTACATATATGGTATGTGCACACATCGCTGATGGTATATTAGTGCCATCTTGGAGCCCTAAAAATGCGCCACGTGAGCTTTTCCAAGGTGTTCAAGCGCATTTTAATTATATATCCTCTATATACACACACACATACATACATACATACATACATACATAAATTGAAGTGCTATGTGCCTGTGCATGTTTGCTTGTAATGTAATACATTATCTTTTGGCATTGCCGCGACATTGCCAACGAGACAAATGACAAATGCGCTGCAACAACAATTTGCTTAATTGCTCGCAATTATCTTAATGAGCGCAGGCAGTAGCTGATAGAACGCCGTTCGTGGGGCGCCTTGCCTTCTTGCTCTGAATAGCTTTGCGTTGATTTTTGATATTTTGGTTTGTGTTGTTGCCGACCGTTGAGTTATCGCCAAAGAAAATGTTCTTTTTTATTATTTACAAGCTTATTAGGGTTAAAGGAGTTTGCGTGAAGTGAGTGGGAAGAGGTTGTTTTTGAATATTGCGTATACGACCTGGTGAACGGAAGTAATACAGAAGGCAGTATGGCGTATTAAGTTGACTCAGACAATCACTTTGCCTAGAAAATAGTTGATGAATTTCAAATTGAAATATTTGACTACCGACATCTGATTACTTCGCACATTCCAATGCATTTTCGATGGCATCTATCGATCTTAACATGGGTAGTATAAGGTGGCTTTTGGTGAGATACTCCTCAATACTTTTTTGCATCTAATGTCTTTCCCAGAAAATGGAGCGATCAAACATCATCAACAGCGGCTCATAGGCGTTTTAAAACTATATTATAAGCTCACTTGGAGAAGCTTATATGGAAAAACTCTCTTTCCCGTATTCCGTGCATTTCGGAAACTCTGCACACATAGCAAATTCATCATCTTTATGTGTAAATCCTCTTTTCACAGATATTTTTCAAGGACAATGAAATTTCTTTCCCATCTGTTCACTGGCAGCCTGGAAAAATGTTCCTTCCATTAATTCAATAAACGTTGGGCATTAGTCGGTATGTCAACTGTAAGGGCCCTACAAGAGTATGCTCCGGTCTTGAATCCGTATGTGCTCTATGTAAGTCGTCGCATTTTTTCGTATATTTTCGAGCATAACCCCTTTCCGTCAGCCTTTCAACCCTTTCATACTTACCTATTTTAATCTCTTTCTGTTTTTGGCCTTTCCAAAATCCAATGGCTTCGTCCTCGGATTTATTAATTGATAAATATAATCAGTTTACTGTGCGTTGGATATTTTGTGATTAAAAAAAGACACCATGAACTGATGAGTTCAAGAAATTTTCAGTTTCCAGAGCGAATGATTGGTTAGCTTAAATTTGAAGATCTGGTCGCAAGTCGTGGCACTTTAGCCATTGAGTTCACTAATTATGTTCCGCTGTACTCGTATATCTCAACGCTTAATTTCTTTCCCCATGCTGGGCCCATATCTGTAAGGTTGGAGTTGGTTCATCGTGAAACATCGGCTGAAAACTAGACACTCCCAAAGGTAGTCTTGCACCGCTTCGTCCTCTTCAACCTTTCCTAGTTTTAGAAGATGATTTACCAGTAGTAGGTGCTGGGTTAATAAATCTATAAGACGGCTAAGCTCCCATTTGCTTAGTAAAGGAAAAAGTTTGTTTATTCTGCAAACCATGCCATCACATAGCAGTTATACGTACATCTTACGTTGGAAGTGAAACAGGACCCTAAGTGCTCACCAAGGCTCTACTGATTTAGACAGTAATTGAAAAAGCAGATAGATTATGCAATCTGTGGTGATGGCCTCGCCAGCTGCTCGGCCAAATCATTAGATTTTTCGTTACGTTCTACAACCGTGTGACCGGGGTCCAAGTAATGCTAACTAGATTTGCACGTGAAAGCCTGAAAGTCTGCCTCCAAACATGGTCTCACACCCTTAGATTTTGTCCTGGAGTTAATTGACTCTAGTGTTCAGGGAATAGACGTCCGTTGGCAGTGATCTCGGGACATGAAGTACTGGTTCAGGGGCTGTAAGCTTCAGAACGAGCTTTAATTTACTCAGAATTAGGGTAGCGATTTTAGATTTAGTGTTATTACTGAGACACGCAACGTTTACTCAGGGTGAGAGAAACTGAAGTGGGCACTCCGTATACGGCTTTATGTGAATATTCAGGAAGGTATCCAGTTGATTTTCATCATCGACTGTGCGTTCTTGTCCAATCGGTGTTCTCTGTGTTTGGTAAAATGGCATGACGTCTGAAAAAGGGAAGAATTTGCAAGATAGAGGCTGACGAGTTTGGATTTTGGATTGTAGTTAACTAAAAAAACATTTCCAGAGGTTTATCTTCTAAGGAGTAATGGAAAGTTGGTTAAGGAACTAATAACAACCGGATTGAGCCATGCCTCTACCTCCTTAACAGAACTTAATACTCTCTGCCGCACTGAATGGGGAAGGGGCTGCCTTCCTTTCAGTAAGTTCATGTATGAGCCAAGCGGGAGCTCGTTTTTTTTTAAATATACATTTTTTAGAAATTAAATTTTCAAATAATACCGTTCATCGATACTCGAAATCCAAATAAATCTATTACGAACTGAATTGCAATCAGCAGAACGAAGAGTTCGAACAACTACAAAATCCCAGACATATCACTTGCTGCTTTGCTTTGTTGGCGTACTCTGCGTACTCACTGGCCCGCACGTTCCACACGTACACTCTCGACTGCTATTTGTTTTTGCTCGTTAATCCCGCTGGTAACGTCAGATTCAGATACCTGGAAATCGCACAAACACGCACACGCAAACACCCAATAGCTTGTACGAGGAGAAGCCTCCGTATTTGATTTGCCAACAACGCCCATTATCCTTGCTGAAAATTAGTAATCAGCAGCTGTAGTGGCAGGCAGATGGCTTAATAAAAGCGCGTACGTGACCGTTACTTATGAATCCAAGAAAATCAGCTGCTTTGTGGTTGTCTAACGAGCGGTTGACGAAGTGGTTGAGAATCGCAGCGGTGAGCGCGGTAAGAAACTGTGTTGCCATTCAATGGTTTCGTATTCCGCTGAGCGCGTTTTGGACGTGCTGGTATCAAAGTTTTTTTCCTGTGAAACGTGCGGCTTACGACGGAGATCGGACATCTTTTGACCATATCAAGTATAATTAATGGTTTTTTTTTTTAAAGATATCACATTACTAACAAAGTAAGATTTTGATTGACTTGTGGTATTTTATTGAGATCTCTCTGGTGAGTGTCATATATGGTTAAATGGGATCTGTGGCAAATTTAAATGAACTTCGATGAAAGCGTTTTCCTTGTCGTTCGACATGTTCGGTATATATGAGCTGGCCTCAAAGAAAAATATCTGGCGACAACCTTGCCCAAGGCTCACACTGATAAGGATATAACTCGAGGGTATCGCGAACAAGGCCAATTATTCCTTAAGTTGCTAATTTTACTTTGCCTGGATGTCCTTAATCGACTAAAAATGGGTTCCTTTGAACACCGATTTGGCTCTAGGGAACAAAAAAAAAAAGTCACAGGGTGACATATCGGATGAATAAGGTTGTTGCAATACGGCGATCCCTTTACAGGCCGAAAACTGAGACATGCTGAGGGCAGTGTGGCACGGCGCATTGTCATGATGTCGGATCCAGTGACGAACGATGTCTGGGCACACCCTGTTGACTCGTTTATTTGATTTACGGTTGGCACCGGTGGAATAAATTCTTTGTGGACGATTCCGCACCTCGACTGGTCTCCCGCTCCACCACTCCTCGTCTTCCACGCTTTTCCGCCCCTCCTTAAACTCTTCATGCCATGAAAACACCTGGGCACGACTAAAAGCATTATCACCATGCACCATGCACCGGAAAATGAGAGAAATTCAGACATCAAGCCACTCACCTAGAATTAGCTAAATTACTACGAGTATAGGAGAGTTTCTCATGTTTTTCTGGTAAAAACTTCCGTCTTCAGCACACGAATTACTGAAAACCCATTCAAAAAACTCATAAGACCGTCTCTATCGCAGCGAATAGTAGAATATTTTAGTAG